ACGGGCCCTTGGCAGTAAGTAAATATCAACACAGCACACGGCACGCATGAAGTATGGCTAGAACCAACTAACTCATCTAGCTTCTATGAGGACCCTAGCGTCGAGGCACAAGGAAGAGCTCGACAAGTACACGAACATAGATACGAAACACCTCCTCAACTTAAAGTATCTCTATGAGTTTGACAGAGCATACCAGTGTCCAACCTGGGGATATCCCACGGAGGAGGCTTACTATCGGGATGCGTCAAGTAACGACTCGCTACTGGCCGTGCGGATCCCGCTGCTTGCCATTAACGCCGTAGACGACCCTATTGCCTCGCACCTGAGTCTACCGTATGCCGAAGCAGAGCAGAATCCGTATACGGTTCTCTGCACTACATCCCTCGGCGGTCACCTAGGCTGGTTTGAGATTGGTGGCGGACGATGGCACGGGAAACCGGTGAGTTATCCGTTTCTCATCCAAGTTGAGGACGCTAACAAGTTGACAGGTCTACAACTTCCTCAACCACATGGCATTTGAGGTCGACCTTGATAGCATAGATCACAAAGTCAACGGGGGGTCCAAGTCTGGAAAATCTCAGTCTGAAGGCGACTTTGACCCGATGAGACGTAGAATGCGCGTCAATCTAAATCGATAAGCCGATCATTGCATGGGAAATATATTATATGTAGTCAGAAGTGTACAGATGGGTATCTATAGAGAGCGATTCGGCGTTCAATAAGACTTGGGAGGCGGATATACTTCAGCTTGGGATAGAACATACTCGCAAACAAGGCACTTCATGTGCTATTGCTATTTAGACCTAGCTTTATGCGCCAATTAATAAATTCGTCTGTGAGGATCTGTCCATGGCCAACCTCCTCAACCTTGAATACTTCTACCGTCTCGGACCCTGGTCGTCTCCTTATCCTCCAGACACCTTCGTCATCAATGGTGTTTCTTAACCCTGTGGTCCAATCAGCAAATGAGTAACAAGCAATCGGTTTCCGATTCTCACATTCTAGAAAGGCACTAGCGAAATTGATGCACATGTTAGCGTTCCAAGTTCTCACGCCGCGTTTTTCGGCCGTCTCGGGAATCTTCGCGGTCTGAATCTCTTCTATTCTCGTGAGGATGCCTTGCTGTGAGCGGAAGCCGACGATAATCTTCGGGACCCCGAGCAGGAAGGACTGGATCCAGAACTTCATTAGCTTGCGCTCGAAGTTCGCCATACTTCTATCGTCGCGGATTTCGACGCTTGTCTTGAGCTCGATCCAGTTGATCGGTGCACCTTTCTGCATCGGCTTGCAGTCCCAGACTGGGAAAAGGACGTTAGCATATTGAGATCCCTAAAGTCATCATGTTGTTTTGACTGACTGGCATCGACTTCTCCTCCTAAACACATAATAGACTTGCCGAGTCCTGTGCGCACCACGGAACAGTACTGAGCTTTATTGCTAACGGTTAGCTCATGTCGGTTCTCGATGAAATCTCTCGAGACTTCTGCCCAAGGACGTGGCAGGCAGCATAATGTCTCGAACTTGTATCCTATACACACGCGGTAAGTTTTAGTGATCTTGACAATATAGTTCATATTCTTACCCCAGTACGTCATTACGTCTGGCGAGAACTGTCCACGCCGTCGTTGCTGTTGGCGATCTTGCTCTTGTTTCGAGGCTTGCTTATAAGCATAATTCTCCTCAATGAAGCTGTGTTATCGTCAGATCAGTGGAAGCACAACTAAACAGGAGGTGCCTCGGAGCATACATGGAGTCCTTTGCCAAACAATCAGTCAGAATTACATCAAAGGGTGGCTTTTGAATTGCGCACTTGATATAGAGTAGCATTCATCTCGAAGCTGAACAAGCACCATGTCAGACAGCTGCCGAAAGACTACAACAGCATATTTGCCCACATACCCATCTCGATCCTCAAAAGGAGCTGACATGATCTGCGAACATTAGCTGGGTCTCATATTATATGAATAATCTGTCGGAGCTTTACCTTAGTCATCATGCCGCGCCATGTCACAATCTGAGCATCGATCTTCTTGCCTTCCTCTTCCTCGTGAGACATTATGGTCCGCAGAAGGCTGTCGAGATGCTCATCTTCCGAATCATCATGCTTGTCGAATTTGTCGAAGCCCTTTGACAAGTCCGCTCCAAGCTCAGGAGGATAGTACCATTGCACCGACGAGTCGTCTAGATGAAACTCATGCTTGTCATCATAGGAGAAGCAGGCGATCTCCTATGAGGAAATGTGAGAACAACGCTCACAACGCTCACAACGCTCACAACGCTCACAACGCAGCCTCAGATCAATAAATATCGAAGTATAGGTATATATACGTACCTTAGGTCGCTTTACAGGCTCACTTTCGCCGACAAATCGGCCGATGGGCTGGATATCAAAGGTTTTGGCCATGACGCCTCGCAGCGGTTTATGGTTATAGAAGGTAGAAAAATGAAGTCGTTCCCAACGTCGGTATGAGAGTAAAGTGCGCCTCATCCGTTATGTAGGGCTTGTTATGTAGCAGTGTATGTACGGTTTAGATTGGCAGGCTTTATAAAGCAAGCAATTCCCCAATCAGATGTCGAGGTCTTTAGTTTATACAGTGGGTGTAAGACAGCAGCTCCATACCTGAAGTAAGGTTGTCGAAGCTTGAGAACAGGGATACCCCACATATCTTCCAGTGAACGAACGACAGTCACTCCTCCTCCCCCAGTCAGTGGTTCGCTGATTATTATTACTTACAAAAACAACCCAGATTCTTCATACCTAATAATTCCAATACTCTATGTAAAACACCACGCCGCGAGCATCATTACTCTTGACGTCGCCTACGAGATCGTCACAGAAATCTAGAAACCGCCGTTTTTCCTACTCTCGACCTACTCAACGAAGCAGATGGCAGACCATCCACCCCCTCACGTTCGTCCGGGCCCTAATAGAGCAGCGCGCACCAACACGGCCGGGGTGCGACGGAACCTTTTTCAGAGCCAGCTCACGCGTCGGCCGACCCCGACCTCTTCCAACTCCGCCGAGACCCTGCGCCTCGACGTCGATGTGCTATCCGAGACCTCGGAGATCGTTATCCGCGATAAGAACGGCGAGTTCGAGGTTGGCGATCCACCGACGCCGCCGCTCGATGATCCGGACGAGGGCGCGTTGGACGATGCGCAGGAAAACGAGCGTAAGTAATATCCTTTGAGATTGGAAAAGGGTGTTTGTCTACTGTGGATAGGGGTGCTGATAGGTTCTACAGGAGAGAGGCAGAAGCTGGCGGAGGCAGTCAAACATCATCAAATAAATCACAACCGGACGCCGGCGCAACCTGAAGGTAGTGTTGATACATTGGATGACGGAGCCACACTAACACGTAATCAAGAGGTTTTGGAGGCACTCCGAGCTAGCATGAAAGCGCAGGTAGCTGCGCTGGCCGAAGATAACTGGATGTTCGAACCAGAGCCCGAGCCCCGACCACAGTGAAAATCGTCATGAATGGTCAAGAGTCATTCGGTCATCCCTAATAGCTGGCGCTCTACGACTACTACACTGCTTAATCAGACGAACTAGTCCAGACCTTCTGCAGCCGGCATCGACGTGGGCGCCTTCACGGCCGGTCTTCTTGCACCCCCGCTCGCCGGAGCTCCACCGCCGCCGAAGAAGCCGCTCATCATGTCCATCAGAGGGTTGCTCTGCCGCGGCCGCTGGATCCCCAGGTACATCTCGGCAATCATCTCCAGCGACTCGTTCCATATCTCGAGATCCTTCAGATGGCTAGCATATTTGGCCGCCAGCTGTTTATAGAGGTCCGCGCTGCCTCTCTGGATGACGAGTAAGAGAAGGCCGAGGAAGTTGAGGAGTGGTATGCTAGGATAGACTCGTATGTCGGCGGTATTGCTGCTCACGTCCTGGACGCCAAGCTGGCCTTGCTTGTCTTGAGTGAGGGCGCTGGTGAATATTTGGTAGCATGTGTTGGCTGCTCGGACGTTACCGGTGAGAAGGTATGGTAGCACAGCTCGGCTGGCATACAATGCGGCTGTGTGTGCATCGTCTTCCTTGTACCATTCATACTCCATACGCGCCAGCACCTCGGCGGAGTCCCTGGTGCCCAGTATCAAGTGTCTTTCGGCGTCGTATGGCTGTTGCTCTTCTGCGTACAAAGAGCCTGCGACATGATGGAGCTCGGGATCGCCTGCGGGGTATTCGCCATATTTGGAGGACCATCTAGGTAAACATCAGTTAGTAGATAGTTTGGCGAAGGAAGAAATAGAAAAGCAAGGCAAGGGACCTACGCTATCATCTCCCCAATGTATTTCTTGCGCGTAGGCTCCTCGCTATCAAACAATCGCAAGCATGTCAAGAGCTTGCCCTTGGCCGCCGAATCTGGCTTCAGCTCCGCCTGCTTGTACGTATCGACCAGCAGAACGCAGAGATCACCACCGCTTCCGCCTTGTCCAGCCTTCAGAAGGGGCTGCGCAACATTGTAGAGGACATCGATGGCGGCACTCCAGTTAGACGCTTTCGTGTATCGAGCTGCCACCACGCGGGTCTGTTGTTGAGCCTCGTAGAACTGCCCCTCGCTGATCCGCTGCTGTAAGCGGGAAATGATCTTTTCGATCTTGTTCCCTTTGCCACTCATCTTCTAGGAGGTACTGGTTATAGATATGTGTACCGGAATATTAGAGGTTAGGTAGAACTATAGAATGGAGGCTTGGCTGTGGCAGGTGGTGGGGTAAGGTAGTGATGGAGCTCTCTACCTTAGGTGCTACAGCACTTAAGTTAGTCAGCTAGCTCACTAAAATCCGGCAGTAATCCGGCAGTAATCCGGCAGTAACATATTCAGCGATACCTTGACAGTTGTATTCATACCTACAACTGTATGTGACCTAAGCATGCCCAGGTGTATTCCACCATCTCAGATACATCGCACCGTAATCAGTAATTTTTTCAAACTGTCTACTAGCCTCACATAATGGCTACACTACTTAATCAATAATAAATCATCGACGATTAAGCACTAGTGGGGTAATGGTAACCTTCAAATTTCCCATGTTTGAGCACCGTGTTCGATTCACGGCTAGTGCATCTACCTATGATACATAGGTTCTTTCTTTTTTTCTTGTTTTTCCTTTTTTCACCCACCTCTATCTACTCTGACTCTCATGCCTTCATAATGATATCCTGAAGAGATTGAATCATTCAGTACTAATGTTAGATAGAACCTTTCTTAAGGGCTAGGTAAGATGATAACTATAGCGTAGTAGAGTAGAAACTGGGTTCTTCTCAGCCTACTTGAACCGGAGGGACACTGAAGAAGAGACATACCTAGATGGTCAAGTCTCGAACTTCCAGTGAATTTATAGCTTACATGGGCACCGCTTCCTTCATCAACCTGGCTTACACAATGTTCTGGCTGGGTGGGACCCAATAAGGCGGCCAAATGTTCATACTGCAGTCTACTTGAATGAAAGACAAGCCTCTAAATGAAAGGCGCAATCGAAGTTTTCAGTAAGAAAGTATATCTTGATTTTGCCATTTTGATTAAACAAGTGCCTAAGGGGGCACATACATCAATTGCCGGACTCGAAGGGAGGTGGTAGTAGCCTTTGGGGGTCAAGTGAATTTTCAGGTGCCAAGAAAGATATATATATATACATATCGAGTCATCCGTCTTTATGACTCAACTATGCTCAGCTGCCATCCAGTTCTTCCTTACTTATAATTCTAGGTATCTAACTCGTTCACAAAACCCAAGTCTCTTCCAATTCATTACATTCGCTTATCTCATTCAGTCATTATTGAATATTATTATCACCTAACTCCAGTCTCAGACATGTTGTCCACTCGTTTCGCAGTGCCTATTGGCAAAAATGCTATTCGCCGCCAGCGGTTTACTTCAAACAACCTTCCAAATAGGCCTAACGCCAACTCACATCACTCGACTGGTAGCACTACTTTGAGGTTCTCAACCAGTTCTCGCCTTGCAACAAAGAAATCAGATAAGAAGTCTTCTACGCCAGAAGATATTCCCAACACAGAGTCCTTCTTCAAAGGACTGGGTATGACGAGGAACACAAAAATCATAGTCATCGTCATACTAAGCATATATGGCACAATCGAGTCTATCTTCTGGATCAGGGTCTTCCTGCGCTGGATGAGAAAAGACAAGAACGACGAATCTGGAAGTGAAGCTTAAGCCTAACTTTACACTCTAGCCTGATCTCGTGCGACTGGCTGAGCTTGTATCTCCTCTCGGGTAAATCTTTCTATGGGAAAGATTCGTCTATTGTACACTGTATCATATCGAGGCCTCCGGAAAGGCAAAACACTACTCACTTAATACTTAGACTCGATATTTGAGTCTGATCTAATACTAGGAGGAATATAATGAATGACACGAATGCACATATTTTCTGACGTAGAAGAGTCATCTCGCGCTACTTGGAGAATTGCTATTGGCATGCCTTATAAGTGATAAACTGAATGAGATAATAGTCAGTGCTTGCTTTGCAACTGAATGCAGCTCGATAAAGGTACTATGACTATAACATGAGACTAAGTAAACACCATCATGCACTCATGGTTCACTTCCTAGCTATTGCTGTTTTCCGATATGACATTATGTTTCCAAAGACTGACAGGTTTCAATGAATGCGTGGCTGGTTCGTGATGATATACTTGTCAAGGATCTTTGTGGTTCGCTGTCAATGAAGGGTTTCGCAAGCTCTCGTATTTGGAAGCAATGTGCAGCTACTCCATATGACACTTCCCGTACAGTTTAGATCATTATGAACTACGCACTGATGTGGAGAATCTGCGAAAAACCATGAAAGGTCTGATATGGCAATTTCATATATATCAGGAGACTTGAGAAATCATCGCTATTAGTTATGTAAGCGAAAAGGGGTACACATATGGAGGCTTATGGAGCAAGAGTCAGGAGTAAGTAGTATTTGCAATGATGTTTATCCATTAGGATAGGACTTTAGTTACTGGACTATATAGTACATCCAAACCTTAAATGCTCTACTCCAACAACACTTAACATTACGTATTTTTCTCGATGCTGCCTGAAACTTCCTGTATCGCAAAACACACCTCAGGTTAAGCGACATTATGAAGCCCTATGTACGCTTGACCATTTTTCGTACCAATAACTCCTGGTTCATGTACTCGACCCTTTCCTTGCTTTGGTTAACCTCTCCTTTAACCCTCCCATAGACCATCCGATGAAGTTTGTTATAACCCAGTCCATCAGCGTGGCCGTCCCAAAATGCTCACCAAGCCAGGCACTACGTGCACCGCCCCCTATCCACAATGTCTTTGACGGCCACCAGCTCAGAGTGTTCTTCACGACGGCTTTCGCGTAGGTATCCGGCGACATAGTTTGTTGATCCTTCGACCCATTTCCAGCTAGGTCTGCCTCGATGATATCTTTAACCGGCTCGTATATGCTACCAGCAGGCAACTTGGTGCCTGTCGAGTTCTCTATGAAATTGGTCCGAATGCCGCCAGTGAAAACGTGCAACACCTCTATGCCCAAGGGCGACAGCTCTATGCGCAGGTTGTCGTTGAGCATGCAAACAGCGGCCTTGCTGGAGTTGTAGATCCCCTGCCATGGCACGTTGGTGCGGGCACAAACAGAACCGATGTTGAGGATGCGACTCGGTGCCCCTTCAGTTGTTCCGGCAGCTAGCAGTGGTGTAAACGCTTGACACATGGCTAAAACTGCCCAAACATTTACTTCAAAGAGTTTGCGCGCGTCGTCAAGATCGGCGTCCAACATCGGCATCTGATAGCCCAATCCCGAGTTGTTGACGAGGATATCCAGGGTGCCACCTGTGAGTTTCGACACCTCGGCGACCGCGTTACGGATAGAATCTTGATCTACAACATCCAGCTGTAGGACTTCGATACCAGCATCTTGAAGATGCCGTACCTTTTCTAGATTCCTCGCCGTCGCAAATACTCGGAGTCCTTGACGGTGAAACTCGCGGGCAAGCGCATCGCCTATTCCTCCTTTGCTACACCCGGTGATAAGGACTGTTCTCTTAGGGGCGGACATTGCGGAATTTTTGTCGATGAGTGAGGAAGAATGCAGTCACGAGGACCAACGAATTACGGTCGAATACCTACCTATATACCATCTCGTGGTCGTCGGATGTTTAGCATCTAATGGCCGAACCGCGAATGACCGAAACAGTTTCATCTATCGGCCCCGCCATATCGTCACCATTAGGTGTTTTGCAGTTGAGAACTATTCCTAAAGTGTGGTTAAGGGCCTTTTGACGAGTGATCGACGTAACAATAGACTTCTTTTATCACCTACAAAGGCACATTCAGTGACGACCATACCTCTGCTGACTGTCAGCTACTTGCAGGTGCCACAGATGCTCATATGTATGTAAACTGTACGACACAATGGACTATGCGATTGGAGTGGGCCTTCATATGATCTTGGGTCCCTAAAATAGCCATTGGCTTGCGAAATTGCAATTCAGCTGTGACAAGGGACCTGCAAGTGGCTGACTACCAGTAGAGGTATGGCCATCCTTTTTCAATGGCGCCTCCATACAGTTCGCCGTCACTAGTATCTTCTGATAATTTGTAAAACGACAGATCTTCACAGTATTTATACTGAAGCTCTGATTCAAGAACGCTTAGCCAATACCTCCTGTTGTTATTATTACTGTATCAATTAATGGCCAGAGCCGGTCCGCCGCTTTCGGATGGCACCAGGGCCTTGACAGGCTTGCATAAAGTTATTACAAGTATATATAAGCTTATCAGGGACACAACCTTGCTTTAACGTAATGACCAGGGGCGTTATAGGCGAGCTGCCTTGTAAACACACAAGTCCTACTGAGTTCTTGGTTTACACCCACGGAAGTCTTGGAAAGTCGATAATTTACAGGGACGGGATTTATCGATATTCCAGTTGTCAATGTAGCAAGACTGCAAGATCAAGTCTTCAACCAAACAGATTTGAGCCACCCCTGGCCGATCATTTCCGCTTCTCCGCGAGGTGTACGTGTGCACCGCCACTTGTACTCGATGCCCTACAGCTGATTCAGGGTCCTGGTGTGTTCAATTGGCCAGCCAGCTAGACTCGATCTTGGTTCTGCCCTGTTTTCGGGCTTGCTAAACTGGGCAGTTAGCCACATGGTTCAAGCCACCCAGGACCCTTAAAACGTAGTTATAATTACTGCTCGTTCGGAAACAGGATCAAGAAATATGATGAGCTTGTTTTTATTCAATTATGCCTCTGATGTGTTTCCTGTTGTTTTCTCGTCACTCGCTTTCGCTCGCTTACTATATTTTGCCATGGTCGTTGTGAGATAATCGCGCTGGATATAAGTTGAGATGGCTACTGAGGCTGTTACTGCCGGCGGTGCTGCCCCAGACGACGAGGTTAAGCCATACAGAATACACGTGAGTCACTTACCAATTTAAGCCAAAGAGATCTGTGGCTGATGTCTCGTTTCCTTTCAACAGGTCTCGTCAAAATATTTAGACCTCACGAGACAGAAACTTGAAGTGACAAGATTGCCTCACGAGCTGTCGGAACCAAAATCGACAGATTGGTGGGAGCCGAAGTCTCAAATAGAACCACTAATTGACTTTTGGTAAGTCTTCATGTAATAATAGTCTTTAGCAACCAGAGTTGTTATGTCATGTTTATCCTTGCTCTCAATCATCAGCTCTCTTTTATCAATAGACTTTGTTTAATGACTTTTAAACTTTCGAGAGATCTGAAAGACTAAACTTTGAGTAGGCTTGAACAATATTCATGGCGAGAACAGGAAGATCAGCTGAACTCTCAGCTAGCCCAATTTCGCACTGGACTTACGATTCCCTCCAGTGAAACAACTATTAGAATTCACTTCGTCCACATTCGTTCACCTCATTCAAATGCAGTACCACTTCTTTTAATACCTCCTTTTCCTTTCTCAAATCTTTCACTAGGGCATCTTGTCAAGCCGCTCACAGACCCAGAGGATGCTGCCAATAACCAGCCTTTCCACTTGGTCATACCTTCTCTGCCCGGGTTAGGATTCAGCGATGCTTTCCCGAACAACACCGCT